GTGAGATGCACCACGGCCACTTCCAGCACGTCCGTCAAGGACGCTATTATTTAGAGTTGGCCGCCATAAGCCGCTTGATTGGGCATTTGTAGACAAAATAAGCAACCACTGTGGAACATGGGGCGATTTCCCCTAATTTATGAACTTTACCAGTCTGTCTAAGTAATTGGTTCTATTAAGAAACAAGTTATGGACTTTAAAACGTATGTTTTGTGAAGATTAAAGGTGTACATGGTACAGAAGCCCTTCAATTTCACAATTGTCAAGAAATTAAATCATCGGCTTTAGGATAAACAGCCAGAGCAGTTCTTGGGTGCCATTTACGTCGAGTAGCACATGTCAGAAACTAAACAAAACCCAGGGGTGGACTGAAGCCACCATCGGCCGCCGTGGCGCACCGCGCTGGTGGTAGAGTGTAGGGCCGTATGCAGTTACAAGTACATCTATTTTTACGACAACTAGTATGCGAATTCGATTCTCACGTACATCGAATCTGATTCGATACCTCCGCTAGTTCCGCCCAAGGGGCCTAGATCTATCATCGGGGCAGTGAGACATTCGCGGGCTGTAAAGCCGACCCCCTTGAGATAGTAGCTCATAAGCAGTCAGCCTCAATTGGCGTAAAGACCTCGGGTTGATGGATATAACACTGAAATAATGTTGGGATAAAGGTGGAGAAGCCGTAGAAACCACAACTATAAAGAGGATGATAAGTCTCTAGGGCAATGCTTTACTTCTCACATCTCCTTTCCTTCACAAAGCATTGACACCATTACCAGTAGTATAAAGCCAACTTATTAAGAATATTTCATCAATCGGCAGCCATGGCAGGAGTTTCACGCTCAGAATATTACCGTAACCAGTTCAACCCGGAACCATCGGCAGGCATGGCTGCTTACGCCTCAACCTCTCTCTTCCAACCTCACCACGCTCGCCAAGCTATTCGTGATGCTCACAAGAAGAAGATTCCTCCGTTGTTGGGCTACTACTGCGGCCTTGGCTCGACGAAGATCACACGCTGGGTAGCACCTCTAAACTTTGACGTCGTCTGGGTCGACTGGGAACACAGCAGCATGAACACGGAGACAATGACCACCATAGTCCACGAGGCCATCTTCATGAGTCACGGAAAGACAATTCCGTTTGTCAGAGTGCCGGGACATGATCATGCAGCTATCGGATATGCGCTAGATGCGGGCGCCAGTCTCGTTATTCCTCAGGTTCGTCGCCGTGTGGCATCCAATTTCGACACTCAAGTAAGCTAACACGTAGAAATTCAGGTTGAGAGCGTTGAGCAGGCCAAACACGTCGTATCGGCGGCCAAATTCGGATCAAGGCAAAACGGTAGCCGTTCTGCGCCTCCTTTCCGACTGTTCCCCGGTGTTACAGATCGACCATTCGAGGAAGGCAGAGATATCTTCGAGGCTCTCAACCACCAAGCAGCCATCATGATCCAGATTGAATCTCTAGCAGGTACTTATCTCTCCGTCACTCAAAACGCTCGACGACTTTAGCCTAGATGTCTGTTTGCTGACTCTTCATTCTTTTGTGGCTAGGCATTAATAACCTCGACGAGATTCTCACAGAAGTGCCTGATATCGACATGGTATGGCTCGGAACTCTTGACTGCCGTGTTGAGATGAACCTGCCAAGCAACATGGGCATGGGCGGTAACGAGCCCGAGTGGTTAGAGGCCCGACAGAAGTTTTTCGATGTTCTAGACAAGCACGACAAGCCCTATGGCGGCTTTGCTTTCCCTAACCCTCCCTTTGGAGGCGAAGAACAGTTTAAGAAGGCCGCGGAGCGCATGTCATTCATCATGGCGGCAGCGGATACATTGGCATTGGCAGGAATGGGCGAGATCCTGAAGATGTCGAGAGAGTATGTGGCAGATACGGTGAAAAAGGAAGAGGCGGTTCCCACACGCAAAGTCGTCAATGGCGAGAAGGAAAGTGTGCAGCAGCCGGCGTTGACAACGTAAAGGTAGAGAAGCAGAGAGTAGAAGGCGGAGAGGGGAGACGGTTGGCAGAATGATTGGGATGATGTAAGCAGCTGCTTGTTAGTCACATGTACCTACAGTTGCAACTTAATGAATCTATCACCTAAATTGCGACAACATCATCTGAATCAAACAAAAACAGCATCAAACCACTTGAAAGCAGTTCTACTCCGCACTGACTCCTCATCCCATCGACACCATTTACATAACAGCAACTGCTAGCGCTTCTCAAGATCTGGGGAAGTTCGACGCCGTTATCGCGCGCCATGTGGGACTCGTTCGACACAACAATCTGCAATCGAATCAGCGCCGTTGTGCCTCGAAACCCCAGGATGCTTATCTCTCGCTATCCGTACAAACTGACTCGGACGTCTCCCCGCAAAAGACCCCCTACGAGCGCTGGAGATAATTGGCTCAAGGCGGAAGCTGCAAGGCCCCAATCCCTGGCCAGCGACTGATCCTTGACTCATGCGGTCCGATTTGAGCCTGTCCAGCGCCATGCTTATCTCGCCTCCATGTCCATCGGACCATCGCTTGTTGCCAAAGCCCGGATGGAAAGCAATGGTAGAAGAATGACGGCAGTGTAAACCAAAGCAAAAACATGGTGCCCGCGAATGTAAGACACCACGTTATTTTCACCATTTTGAACTAAACCCCTGCGGCCACGGAAACAGGCCAAACAAGCTTATCGTCAGCAGCGAATGCCTGGCCCAGAATCGGCGCCGCTGTTACTCGTTCCAGATGAGGCGTCGACTAGACCTCAGGCTAAGCACAGCTAGCAGCACGCGACAGCGCCAGGCGGAGGGCGCTCAAGCAAGGGCAGAGCCGAGGCCGTCGTCATCGGACGAACCATTGCTTGCATGCGATACCTGGTCCCGGGCACTCGAAACGAAACGGCACAGCTTCTTATCTCTCGCCCAAACTCTGTCTTTTCAACCCTTCAACTCTTCCTAACCTCTCACAGCCTGCCTCACGCTGCTGCTTTTGCAACTCCTCCATCGGACCGCTGCTTGGATGGTGACACAAGACAACCTCAGACGCTCAGCTACGCACCACCGCTAACGGCCAATTGGCATCGCGAACCCCGTCGATCGAGCCTCACTACGCTTCAGACAGCCATGGATACTCGTCGCCGCCGCTCCTCCGTTGGCAGCGGCGCCCAGACCGCCGACCAGGCGCTCGCGTCGCTGGGCTACAAGTCCGAACTGCCTCGCCATCTGTCCATGATGTCCATCCTGGGCCTCTCCTTCGCCATCATGGCCGTTCCCTTCGGCCTCAGCACCACGATGTACATCACCCTCACCAACGGCCAGTCCGTCACCGTTCTCTGGGGCTGGGTCCTCGTCTCTCTCATCTCCGTCTGCATCGCCGCCTCTCTCGCCGAAATCTGCGCCGTCTTTCCCACTGCAGGCGGCGTCTACTACTGGTCTGCCATGCTGAGCTCCCGCGAGTGGGCGCCTCTGGTCAGCTTTGTGGATGGATGGCTCACTCTTGTCGGCAACTGGACGGTGACGCTGAGTATCAACTTTTCTGGCGCGCAGCTTATTTTGAGCGCCATTAGCATCTTTAACGAAGACTTTGTGGCAAATACTTGGCAGACTGTCTTGTGTTTTTGGGCCGTGATGCTGGTGTGCGCCTTAGTCAATGCGTTTGGATCGCGATACTTGGACCTCATCAACAAGATTTGCATATACTGGACGGCTGCCAGCGTCATCATTATCATGGTTACTCTGCTTACCATGGCCGACCACCGACACTCGGGTGAATATGTCTTTGCTCACTACGATGCCTCAGCCAGCGGATGGCCAACGGGCTGGTCCTTTTTTGTCGGACTTCTCCAAGGTATGTTGGCCATGTCACACTCTTTCTTCAAGCTCCGGTTGCATTTCACTTCTCTGTGTTCTTCTTCTAACAAATAGAAGCTGCTTATACTCTTACCGGCTACGGAATGGTTGCTGCCATGTGCGAAGAAGTACAAAACCCCGAGCGCGAAGTTCCCAAGGCCATTGTTCTCTCCGTCGTTGCTGCCGGCTTTACTGGCGTAATCTACCTCATCCCTCTTCTCTTTGTGCTTCCCGATGTCCAAACCCTGCTCAGCGTTGCAAACTCTCAGCCAATTGGTTTACTCTTCAAGACCGTCACCGGATCCGCAGCTGGTGGCTTCGGTCTCTTGTTTCTGATTCTTGGAATATTGATGTTCGCCGGCATTGGCGCCCTCACGGCTGCCTCGCGATGCACATATGCTTTTGCTCGAGATGGTGCCATTCCTGGATATAAACTTTGGCGCAAGGTGAATAAATCTTTCGATGTGCCCATCTGGGCTCTTGTACTCTCTACGGCAGTCGACTGTATCCTGGGATGTATCTATTTCGGCTCATCGGCTGCCTTCAACTCCTTCACTGGCGTCGCCACAATCTGTCTCTCCACCTCATATGGTGTCCCCGTCCTGGTCAATCTTGTCCAGCGTCGCAAAGCCGTACGACACTCGCCTTACCCTCTCGGCAAGACCATGGGTCCTATTATTAATGTCATCTGCATCATCTGGATCGTCTTCTCCGTCGTCATCTTCTGCATGCCTGTGTCGCTTCCGGTAGACCCCACAACGATGAACTACGCTTCGGTAGTCTTTGCTGGATTTGGAGCCATTGCTTTTATTTGGTACTTTGCGTATGCGCGCAAGAACTTCACTGGCCCTCCGGTCAGAAGCGGTGGAGAGGACGACGTTATTACAACAGTGGGAGTGGCAGTGGGTGAGCCCGGAAGAGGCTCGGAGTCACCGCAAACAAATACGGAAAAAGACATGAAATAGGTCTAGAACCTACAATGAGTAATATGAACATAATGAGTATTTGATCCTTTCAATTCAATTGCTTTAGTAATTCATGAATCTATTACATGCTCCTGCTATCTATACCAGCGAAGCATGCCCATAATCATAACAGGTATATACAAAAAGGGCACAAAGACATTTTATTTTCCCATCACACCCAGGTTTTCCCCTTTAAACACTGATAGTCCGGAACACGCTGAATTCCTCACCGGTGGCAATCAAGCTGCCCGGGATCTGCGGGTGCCAGTGCACCTCTCTGACATCCTTGAGGTAGTGAACAAACAGCAGCTGAGGCGGCACGTCCTTGACGCCAGCAGTGTCCTTGCTCTCTTCATCATCCAACTCGACTGCCAGATCCCATAGCGTAACGGTGTTGTCGCCCGCAGCCAGCGCAATGATGGAGTCATCTGTGGGATGCCACTCGATACTGCAGATTTGCTCCTTGTGGTAGTTGAAGCTGGCCACAGGCTGGGGCTTGCTATCATTACCCTTCCAATTTCTGAGATCCCAGACAGCCCATGTTCCGTCGTCGGCTCCAGAGGCGAGCAGGTTGGTGGTGTGCTTGGACCAGGACATGACGTTGACGTCGTAGTTGGAGACCTGGACCGTGATTGCGGGTTTCCTCGACTTGGATCGGACGTCCCAGATGCGAACGGTGCCGTCGCTGGAGGCGGATGCGAAGACAGACTGCTCGGAGGGAGACCACTGGATCTCTTCCACGCTGCTGGCATGGCCCTGGAATGGTCTGTTGTCGGTGACCCAGCCGCCGCCGTCAGTGCGCGTGGTCATGTAGATGAGGCCGTCGTTATCGCCAGTCAGCAGCTTTCCACCAGGGACGAGCGGTGACCAATCCACGGCATAACCCTCAGACTTGTGTGCTCTGATGGTAGAAATAGGCTTATTCTGCTGGGCAGTGATGACAGTGCCGGGCGTATCGAACGAGGTGAGGTGGGGAGTAACATCGTGGATGAAGACGCTCGCGGACTCGGTCATGGTTGCCGTAAGCGTCGTGGGAGGCAGAGAGGGGTCTTGGTTGGGGACCTGGTGCGTGCGAATACGGTTGGTGCAAGAATTGAGCGGGATCGACTTGCTCTCCAGGATAGGATCGGAATCTTCGTCGTCGTCGTCGGAATCAGACTCCTCGTCGCCGCGCTCCATCTTGCTAAGGCCGCTGAACTTGACGACCAGCAGCTCGTTCTCGTGGGCCTTGGCCGACTCGGCTTGCGTGCCCGTAACGGTGTACATGGTGTGGGGGTAGGCTTTGCGGTTGTCGCCGAGGGAATCCTTGACAATGTCAAAGGACAAGCACGGCCAGGGCGTGTTGAGGCCGTGCAGCATTTCGTAGGTGGTCAGATCGGGTGCCAGGGTCTGGCCGGGCTCGAGCTTGCTTCGTCCGACGATGAAGGTTCCCTGGTCGACTTCCATGGCGTCTGTTCCAACGATGTTTGTTAATCACAGCTCCCAATTGAGTCTTTGCGATGGCGCGCAAAGTGCCCATGCTGCTGGATCGCAGAGACGGACTACTTACGCTCTTTCTCTTCAGCCTCTCTTTCGGCGTCTGGCCGTCCATCCACGCCGGCCTCGATAATTTCGTCTTCGCTCTCGAATTCATCTTCAAACTCATCTTCGAACTCGCCCATGTCCTTGTCCATATCAACGTCCATCTGATCGGGGCGCTCGCCGCCCTTGAGCGGCGCATCGTCCTGGTGGTCTGCTGTGCGCTTCGACATGTTGTATATAAATTGCGAAGAGTTTTTAAGTCCTAATAAGCCTCGTTAGAAAGATAGCATCCCAAACAATGCGCAAGATACTCACTCTAAGCTGGGGCGCTGTATGGAATAGCAAAGCTGAGGCCGCAATCAGTCTCCCAGTACAATTTTTTGAGCCCCTCTAAAAAATTCCATCTGCAAAAAAAACTTATCGATTGTTATCAGCAAAGCCACACTAACCCCGCTGTGTGGCTGGCGCTCTTTTCTCCAAGCTTCTGTGGCGCAAGTCTGGTTGGTTCCACTTTTCGTGGTCCTCCATTTGGCTTCGGTGTTAATAGACAACTGGAAGGCAGGTCAACAGACATATAACGCCACGAATGAATGTCATTTGTTAGCTGTATAAGTTCATGTTTATACTCCAACTCGCAATTTGTTTGAAGAAAATGAACCAACTCTACACAGTTTGTTGTAAAAGGTTCAGACTATGTTAGCTCAGATTTCCAACTCTGGTTCGGGATATGCTCGAGTTCACCTCGGTAGCAAATACTACTGTGAAATTGGCAATCGCATATAGTGACCATCATGTAACGGTCACCAGTTGGTTGAAAACGTACTTCTTTCATTGTCATTAGATGCAACATTTCTTCCTTTCTTTCTTTCTTTTTTTTTTTTTTTTGGTATTCTTATTAATTCTCTTTCGCCTATACAAGCCAAGCTCCACTACCAGATGAGAGCAGCGCAGTCACAGTTCATGCGCCCCAGTGACAAACGATCTCGTTATTCGAGCTTGACTCATATAGTAACAATTATGATGACCATTAGGTAAGTCTCACAAAGTCTCCCGTCTTCATAATATCGTACAAGATGAGCACAGCCGGGTGATCTAATTGCTTTTAATGGATATTACTACACAACACGTCAACTTGTGCCGTCGTCCCATAGAAGATAGGGCCGCTCTGAGACAATCTAATAGTAGAGCTCAACAAAAAAGTCAATTCAAGGCTCAAGTTCATTTTCCTGCCAGCTACAAAGCATCAAAGCATTCATGCAAACACTGGTAGAGCGTAGCTCATGTTTAATATCCAGCTGTTGCAGGGTAGAGACACTTGATTGTGCGGAACACCTAGAGGCCATCAGATATGGACAACAAATAACGACTAGGAAACACAGTTTGATTCTTCTTAATACATGGTTTCAAGTTGTTTTATTGACTCTATAAGTTCACTCTTCGACCACTTCTCAGGACTTAGAAAGACAAAAGATTCGGCAGATTGGTAAAGTAATTCTTGACTATCATCAAAGTTAATGCGAAGCCTCGGGCTGTACAACTATTGGTATCTCAGAAAAAACGCTAGCAAAGTAAGTCTTGCGTTAATCAGCTTCAAGGATACAGCCTTCACATAGCTGCGACCGCTCACTCAATCTTTACATCTCTATCTGTGAAGCCCAATTGGCCGAACGGTCTTTCATTTTTCCCCAATCGCTCCTTACCCACGCCCTATCTGGTAGCTATATTATCTTGGTAAATTCTCATGTACTACATGTTGCGTTGAATTTTTAGAACTCCAGAGGATATGGAAAATAATTGTACAAGAAATCACTAGGGAGAATCACTCGATGTGGCTGGCATCAGTGCTCCATAATTCCTGATACATCTGGCAATGTCTCCTTCTGCATACGAGCCTCAATAATCTCCGTTTTCGCGTGTAGGATGTTGATTTGATTTGTATGCCTTTGTTAGAGAGACCATTGTAGACTACTCCTCTTAGCAATTATCGCAGGGCTTGACTCATTCAACAGTCTACCCTCTGTCCATTAAAGGGGCTGCTCCGTCACGCGGTCCCTATGTTGACTAATTAACTAGATTAGGACACACGGAATTCATTCCGCGAAAAGTTCATGTATTAGGATGGATCTGAGATACGGGGCACCTGGGTCTGCATGCCTCTCCATGCCCAGTATTTTATAGAGTATCGATATTCTTGACTGATTTGTCCCCTAGTGGCAAAGAGCGATACAACCACTCCTATTCGATTTACTATTTTAGTTCTGTTTAAATCTTGGCAATCTTGGCATCTATCCTGCCTACTATCCACTTGACATGATGCCAAGTGAGACTTCAATCGTCTAGGAAAACTCGAGATTTCTACTAGTTCTAATATAACTAAAGACTAGTACGGCAGTACGACATAAAGTGCCCCTTTTTCAGCTCGAATCTGTTCAGGGACGCTATATCCTACTCTGAAGGGACTTGCAATGTCCCCTTTCTCCAGAAAAAAGAAAGAAAAAATGTCTTGCAATTACTGAGTGTCATCCCAACGTATGTGTAGACGGGTGCGAAAGTCTACCTGTGTCTCCGTATCGCCTATATTGACGATATTGTTTGAGTTCCATCATTGCCACTAGCCATTATATCTAATCATTACGCTCTAGAATACTGGCTCCATTAGCTCATATTTTTTTCGTGTAGGACTGCCTAAATATGTCGACCGAAATTACATGTGCTTGGCAGTATTGCTTCTTTTACTGGGCCCGTCGATGATTGGCAGAAACTACGATCATTCAAGCCATGATCACTCGCTCTAACAGTCAGCTTGTTTCGTGTGATTTTCATGTTGTACTCCTACCATGTTGCTGGGGGCGAGTCTATCATTCTTTTCCGGCCCCACCTGTCTTCTCCGGCCCCATTGATCGATCCTTCTACGGCTTCCTTAAAATTGTTTCGGCGACCATGATTGTCAGCACTCTCTGCTAGCTCCCACTTCGGAGCAACTTGAATGCCTTTGCTTTGCAGGGGCGTAAGATGCATCGAGGCAAGATCCTTGAGTGGCAGTATGGTCGAAATGAAGCCACTGTATTCAGGGTGCATCCCCACACTACTACTACTTTATCTTTTCCCCTTACAGGATCTAGACATGATACGCGTAGTTATGATACGCGTAACTATCATGAACAAGGTATTAGTGCATGATAACGTGAGAGTGATTACTACTCCCGTCTTACATAGGGGGTGGGTTACACGGCATACCATTGAACCGTGTTGCCCACAATTACCAAAATCGAGAACGACAAGCATGCTGCATATGGAGGATACGTCTACGAGCTGGTTGTCAACTCAGCTAGTCTATACATCAAGCTCAGCCAGATCCTTAACTAGCTAGTGCCCTATCCCTGCGGCCAGAGCGATTGATGACATCGATCATTCATTGATAGAGAGTCAGAAGCTTCTTGACCCGCACTCCGTTGAACGCTACACGCGTATTGTTTAGGCGTAGTTCTTTGACAAAAATTCTTTTGCAGAAGTACATATACCCTAATAAACCTGTGATAATGAGAAAGTGGCTGCTATTGAAGATCATATCTATACTCTACTGGATTCAGTTGTTTCTCTGAACTTGATAACTGGACACCCTACCCAGGTCGTGAGCACTAAGACGAGGGATTCCGCTTCTTCGAACCACTTGAACAACGAACGAACAGAGTCTTGCAGGAGTCCACTCTCACCGAGTCTTCTCATGGTACTTTTCTTTTTGGAATTAGTTGAGTACTAGCTGCGACAATCATAAGTAAAGGGGGCTTACCAGTAACTCAACTCTTGCCAAATAGAGCTTGAGGATTTTGAGATACAAGTTTCGAGGCTAAACATCTCGATAAGGCTGTGGAGAGCAAAGCTGTCGCTTATTGGGCACCTCGAAAACCTTACCCCATATAGAATGAAACTCTTACCGCTTCTGTCACAGATTGCTTCCCGTGAAAAGCTCCCAAAAACAACACTCCATACGTAGGGCTGCAGTAAGGGGCCTGATTGCGGACAAAGGCGGTAAAAGAGGTGATCCACTGGATTGGGGCTCTAGATGTGACACGAGGTAAAATGGAGCAATAGTCTTATGATCGCCGAATGATCGTGATGCTCATGACTGACGTCGAACACCCTCGCCTGTTGGGCTCAACTCGATCTATTGCTGTTGCTACTGTATTTAATTATAGAAAGTGTCGTCGTGTTGCGTTAGCTCGAATCCTGACCCTTGTTCCCTGTAGCAAACGGCTGTCAGCCCTTCTTTCAGCTTCAGCATTTTCTCTTCGTCCAAGTGGGACTAGCCCCTGTGACTAATGCATGGCCAAGGGTGTCACTGGGCTTCCATTTCATCTTGGTATTCAGCTTGAAGACCGGCGTGGTGTGTGAATCCTGGAGCCCGGCAAGCAAATTAATCTTAGAATTAAGGATGTTTGCGATGTATCAGTACCAAGCTTCAATAGCGTGGTTCGCTAAGATGGAGTGGACTCTTGTAAAAACTACGGCCAGGCTGCTGGTAGCTCTGCCTTGCCGCCGTAAGGACCAGGGAATACACGTATGTTGACAAACTAGTAGCTTGCTGCATAGTGTTAAGCGAGTCCTTTCGTCAACTAACCAGGTATTGTCGTGCTAGCTGGTGGTAAACACCATGCGTCTCGGTAACTAAATAACTCAAAACCAGTATTGGTTTCTACGTATTGAAGATTCAGCTCAACGTTTACATGAGCAAAAAGGAAATACTATTGGTTTTAGCACTCAAAAAGAAATCTCAGCTTTGTGTCTCCTCCGGGAAGGCTCGAACTTCCAACCTCCTGATTAACAGTCAGACGCGCTAGCCAATTGCGCCACAGAGGATACGCTGCGATGTTTGCCGAGGAGAAGAGGATGCAACTATGAAGCTGTAGACTCAATGAAGGAAATTTTCATGGCTTGTAATTCGATCTCGAAATCTCTTAGCTTGCCGTAGCCATAAAGTTAGATGCAGCTGGTCGAATGTCACATATACTCACTCCTACCTTGCGTTCACAGTTAGATCAGCAAATCAATTTGAGCCTCGCTATAGTAGAATACAGTTTAAGAAGCCATTCCCTTGGCTTGTATCCTTTTGAGATCGTTGAACCACACATATCGACTGAGAATCATGTACAAGTGGCGGTCCCACGAATACTGGCTGTCATGGCTTGCAAAGGCATTACGCGTCCTCTGATACCGGTGCCAGGGGTTGGCTATTAGTGCCTCGGAGCTAAGCTCGGAGCTCGCTTTCTCAGACGGATAGAAGGTGGCTGCCACGATTCTCCACGAGAAAGACAGTGCCGTCAACGGCAAGTCAAACAAGAAAGTGTATTTCCTGAGAACTGCCGTCGTGACAAGCTTGTATGCCGGCGGGGCCTTTTCATCACCCGCTACGTACTCACTAGAAAGACGAGTCAGTTGGCGGAACTATCAGTAGCGTGCGTATTACATCGCTTCAAGCGAATATGCACGGATTGAAGGTGGCATACCTCACGGCTGCGCTCACAGCGCGATGGTTGATGTGTCCAGACACACCGCCCTCGTCAAAGGTGATGATCTATACAGTGATGTACGTCAGCCTCATTCACAGGAGATGCAAGGACCAGACTGATGCAAAGCAAACAAGAAAGAAAAAAGAGGGGCAGAAGCAAGAAGCAGAGTACTAGTGTGTACTTACGGCGTCAACCTCCCACTTCTTGACATATTCCTTTACCTTGGATTTGATGAGATCCGTATCCCACCACACCTTGGGGTTGTCCTGAAGGCTTGGATGGTCCAATGCCTCGCATCTCGATGGATTGATGCGTAAAGCACTGCACGAGCCTTTTAGCTCTTGCTTGCGCGTCTCGCCCAGGCCATAATTGTTTCCTAATGTGAATACGTCAAGGGTGACGAATTGTAAGCCTCGGCGGATGCGGGGAAAATGGAGCCAAGAGAAAGACAAGATTTTAAGGGAATAAAAAATAAAACAAAAATAAACTAACCAGTTGACATAACTAGCAAGCCGCCATTGATGGCCCGGTTCCTGTCAAGGACGCCCAGGATGGTAGGCGAGAAGAATAGGCACTCGTCATCAGGATGGGCCGTGACAATCAAGACGTTCTTGGCCTGCAGCAGCTCCGGCGGCAGCAGCCGCGCATCCCTACCAACGACGTAGGCGAGCAGCCACTGTAAGAAGAGAGGGATGACGAGGATAGCAATAGCGAGCCGAAGCAAGGTGCGACGCCGGCTGCGTGTCCCGACAAACCAATGGCACGTCTTGAAGATGGTCGAATCGCGGATTTTGCGAGCCATGGTAAGAACCAGCTAGGCCCACGTGAGATAAAAATAAACCTCAAGTCAATAAGGCAAGGGAGGGAAAAGAGATACAAGAAAGAAGGGATTAAAGAGTGACCCTTGAGTTAGGAAATCGAAGGCGAGAGCCCCGAATATTTCAGCCCCGTGCTTGCTTGGGGCGTCCCAGGAAATCGAATAAGCTTGATGAGTAAACTGTGCCCAACTAGGTAGCAACGTAGCGAAACGACGTGGCACACGCACTACCGGCCAGTATCCGTTCTGGAACCAGATGGCTCGATGTCTCAAAAAGCTTGACTGGCGCTTTGACCAGAGCAGAGCCCGCGGACTGCGAGGCACAGAACCACGAGCAAGTAGTACTTGTAGGAAGGACAAGAAATGGTTTAGGGGGGGTGTGCCACGCCACCGGTCTTGTACCGAAGAGCACGAGGGTGGTGCGAGGTACGAGCAACTGACAGACGCCAATGGCAGACGCCCTCTGGAGAGCTGCGTGCGAACCCCGTGGTTAAGGCAAGATTAACACGACGGAACCAGCTGCGGCGGATCCCTGTCCATGAGAGGTGGAAACATGTGATGTGATGTACGAGTACCGGGTACTTTTTCCCCGGCGGGCTCTGAAATTGGACCTGCGACGCGGCGATGTTATGCCATGGCCCTGCTGAGGCTGTACAGATGGACTCATTCGGTGTAATGTATACAATTACCTGCCCAGGCACTTTACGCATCATACCGCCTTGGTATCTCTCCTAGCTGCAATTGCTTTTCTCCGGCAGCTCTTCTAACGCCGAAAAGATGGTGTCCTGTGCCAAGGATGGCAACGACACTACTAGTAGCACTAATGTACCGATTACATGAGTTCAGCCGACAGCCGCATTGTGTGAATCTGCCGTGGCCCATTCCAAGCCCAGGCCAAGCCAGCGTTCCGACCAAAGAAGCCACAAACCTTGCCGACTTCCCGGTGTAGAGCAGCTCAATTAGGCAATGCAATGCTTGGCGTGGGACAAGAGAGCAACAGGTTACGGGGCAAGGGCCAGGACCCCTTCTAAGCGCAACGCTGGGTCTGGGTCAGCTCGCCGAGTCGGTACGTGTAATGTTGCCGCACGCTCTATGCTTTGCCTTGGCTGAGATGAGTGCGGGATGGCCGTTGACTAACATGCTTTTGCTTGGTTACTTTGGGGCATGGCCGAGCCGCTCTAGGGCTTATTTAGCCAGCCCTATCATGGCGAACCAGTTGCCATTCAATGCCATCTGGGCTTTAGAAGCAAATTAAGCTGCTGAGGCGGAATACTAAGCGACGGGGGTTAGCGTGGCCTAGATCATGTCACTCTGACGAGCCAATGCTAGGAGTGAGACGTGCAGGGCTATTTAAAAAGATACATGGTGCAGATACATATGTCTGTACTCCGTAGCACTCGTGGTTGATTAGCGGCTCCTCTCTCTCCCCCGTCTCTCAGTTCTCTTTCTCGCATACAGGGTTCCTTTCAAGTGGAATTTGCCCGCAGGTCCATGCCTCTTTCGAGGGCAGCATGTTGATTAGTATAGAGACTCTGGAGTATAGATGTTGAAAATAGTAAAAACTAGATTGGGTCGTAAGCACTGTTGAAGCAGCCAGTGCTTGAACCGGTATGATGTTTCAAAAGTATTCTATTTCTAGCCTTCATCCTGCATCGACCATCACTGTAACAGACAAAACGCCCCCCCTCCAAGTGTCCGTAGACAAGACGAAGGAAGGGCAGGGGGGTGGCTTTGTGTCGCTAGCCAAGGCAGGCCGGGTACGGTTAGCGATCCACGCCAGCTCTGTCGTAAGGATGGCTGCAGTGGTGGAGGCTCCTCCTTTTCGCCAGGTGCGCATTGGCATAGTCCGCCTACGCGCTACTATCCAAACGTATTTTTGACTGGGGGGAGGCTATGCTGTCAAGAGTAGTAGTCGTAAGAAGAAAGCGGAATTACGAGACACCCTGAGGCTCTTGAGAATAAAAATCTAGTCGGGATACCGCACCTCAATCTCCAACTTTGAAACACACAGCCTCTCTCTCTTGACCACTCTCTTTACACACCCACAAACCTATTTTATCTCGCCGCAAGCCATGTTCAACTAAACTTTAATACTCGAATAATAACTCTCTTATTCTTATTCTTCCGTTTTGCCATTGTGGTTGAAAATCGAACAGAGTGTCACCGTCGTTGGTACCAAGATCCCGAGGGAGAAAAAAAAACGCTACTATACCTCTCCACACCCGTTTATCTAGTCTTCTCACTGCCCTTTCTTCTTCTCCTCTTCAGTGCTAGCCAGCTAGCATCAACATCATGATTAAAGAACGCGCCTCAACGGTTTTTGGCGACAGTGTCGAAAAAAGAGCCCGGACTTTCTTCTGGTTAACGGTCGTGAGCTTCGCGTCGGCCGTCTTTCTCTTCCGCCATCTTCTCTACACATCATGGACGCTGGCCGCCCTTCCTGCCTACTGGCCCATCCATCGCGACTCATTCATCCTCTCACAAGAAAGAGATAACTTCGACGTCACATTCTCCAACTACAGCATAAACCAAGTCTCAGCCGCCCCCTACGAAGATGTCGTGCCCCCCATCCTACATCACATCGCCCTCGGCAAACACAGCACGAACTGGAGGACAGAGTGGAAGGAGACGGTCCAGAGCTGCGTCGACATGCACCCAGGCTGGGAGGCAAACATTTGGACTGATGACAAGGCCTCCAAGTTTGTCGAGGAAAAGTTCCCCGACCTCAAGGAGATGTGGGACAGCTACACCTACCCCGTCGAGCGAATTGACGCTCTGCGCTACATGCTTCTGTATGAATACGGCGGCGTTGTCCTCGACATGGACCTCAAGTGCACACGCGCTCTGGGTCCTCTGCGACGATTCGACTTTGTGGCTCCCGAAGCTCATCCCGTCGGCTTCTCTGTCGGCTTCATGATGTCCAGCAGACGAAACCAATTCATCGGCGACGTCGTCAAGAACCTCGCCACCTACAACAAGCACTGGCTGGGCCTTCCTTACGCTACTGTCATGTTCAGCACGGGCTGCCACTATGCCTCGGTGATACACGCCTTTGAGTCGGATCGCAGCGACCTGAAGATCCTCCCTGGACCGTTGCACAGCCTCAATGGGCGTGTTACAACGCCCATCTTTGAGCACCTCGGCAGCTCATCATGGCATTCCTACGATGCCCGCTTTATTACATCGCTGGGCCGACGGCTGCACCAAATCGTCTTCTTCTGCGTCGGCGTCGTGCTGGCTCTCTTTGTGCGGAGACGAATGATGCTGCGGAGAGTATGGTGGAACTTCAAGGGCGATCGCTCATCTGTATAAATACTCTCTCGTCATTTTTTTCTTATGTATAACAACAACTAAACAGGAGCAAAACAGCGCACAAACTCAAAGCGAGGATCATGTAGGGCCTGTAAGAGAATAGGCCTCTCGCAATTTCTCATTCACTTTTTTTTGTACAAATTCTTCTAATGCCTTTTGAAATAATACCCGTTAATAGAGCCTTGAATTTATTTTTCTCTTCATCTGTATTTTACTAAACGCCATGTGTCTCGTCTCGGCTGATCGGCATGAAATGATTCAGATTGCTTACTCGTATTGACAGCTGATTGAGGGGGAGAGTTATTAAACGGAATCTCCATCCATCTATGAGGCGTGAAAATACGGGCAGCAGGAAGGGAAAACGGCCACCGGCGCACTTTTCGTACCCGGTACAACGAGGGTACTCCAGCCGCAGCAGTCATGGCTAAGCTTTTGGATCTACAGTGCCAAGCTTTTTCGAATCTGGAGCTAGCCGTGGCCAAGTCACGGCCAAGTCGAGGCTCTGCTGCACCACGCCATGAAGGTACCTGTGCCTAGTCGCGGGCTGGAGCTGGCCTTTGCTGGGCTAGCGAACAGGGACCAAGTCTCTAGTCGCTGTTCCGCTACCCGGTCGGTACTAGGCGACGGTAGGCCTGCAAATTGTACCAACCAGAGTGGCAGGAGCTCTTACACCCTCCTTCCCGCCGCACTCGAGACCCGGCCCCACACGAGGCACGCCTGAGGAATGTGGGAAGGGGCAGAGCAGCAGCACTTGCCTGGCAGAAGCTGCGTTGAAACAGGGAAGGAAGAAGGCAGAATACCTGCCTGCCATGGTGCATGTACCTGGGTAGGTACTAGTATCATCTTATCATTGACTGCTTATCTCAGGAGTTGATTCTATTTTTTCTTCTACCTTTCCTTTTTCTCCGCGTGTCTCCACGCACATCGTCATCGTCTGTATGGCCTTTTTTACCTCATGCAGAAGCCCACCCCGGCTTCCATGTCTTGGCTGCGCCACGGTTGGCGCCCAACTATTGCCGCAAACAATGAATCTGACTGGACCATGTTGCTCGCCTACGGATCAATGGTCGCAGGGGCTTAGCGAATTAAGAGTAGAAGAATAAAAAGAACCCCAGCTCGGAGAACGGCCGAGAACGCCGAGCTACCGCCCCCTGAGGATTTTGGCGTGCGAATTCTGCAACGTGTTGGATTTTGGCGTGTTTGGTTAATGGCCTGTGCTGCGCTGCGCCGTGCTGCGGTGGCCTTTCCATGCTCTTGAAGAAAATATCAGGCATGGAGGCTCCATCTGGACAAAGGAAACCGGTACAAACTCCCATTGTACATGACCAAAAGAGCTAACCGTCAATTGTCCCGTAATTCGTGCTGTCAAGCAATCGGGAATCCCCCGAGAGAGGCGGCTAGACTTGATTGAGAGAGCCGCTGCAGGACGCGGCCAGAGTACAGTAGCATCGCCAGTTGCTCGGTGCGCGAGTCTCTTGATGCTCCATTGCGTGCGTGCGTGACTGCGTCTTTTACGAAAGGGCGCCCGCGGTCCCCGTCAAAAATCACATAAGCCATGCTACTCCCGCATGGTCTAATCCGCCGCCGGCTGCGGTTCCTCCTGTTATCTGCCCTGGCCGGCGTGATAACGGTTTGGGTGCTCACGGATGGCCAGCAGCAGGAGCAAAGCCCGCCGTTTGATGCCGAGCTGGTACAACTCAACTACCCTCTGGTATGGAATCACATCCAGTCGTTCGACGGCTTCGGAGGAGGTAAGCAGCTTTGGCTTTGTGGCGTTCGGCTCTGGCAGCATTACATAACCCGAATAGAATTCAAAGCCCTTTTGATGAGAGTTTGATGCTGACATCAACGCCGCAGCGTGGTTCATTCCTCCGAGCTGGGTCGCAGACGACCAGCCGCGAGACATTGTCGAAGCTGCTGAGCTTGCTTCCAAGGCAGCCCTTTCCGTGCGCGAGCGGCAGCTCTCCTTTTCCAACATTCCTCTGCTGATGCATCAGACCGGAGCCTCGTCCAAGGTCGACACATGGAAGCCCGAAATCATTCCGTGGGTCCAGCAATGGCTCGGATATGCTGTGGCTCCAAACAATACCGCTCCCATGGCCTATTTCTTCTGGGATGATGAAGGCATCGACTTGTTCATGGAGAGATATGAAAAGGATTTCATCAATGACTTTTACAACATCTTCACTCCCGTCGAAAGAGCAGACATCTTTCGTGTCCTAGTGTGTCAACACTTTGGTGGCGTTGTATGTCTTCTCATCATTCTCCCCCTTACCTCTCTGCGTTGTCTAACCCTAGTAGTATGCCGATATCGATACAGAGCCCTTACGACACCCTGCCAATTGGCTCGGCCCGTCAGATCTCTCGAGATGGACCGATGATATCACTGGCAAGAGCTACGGCCTCAAGAACCCGGAGGCGGAGGCAGATGGCACGCGGCCAGTTAACCTTATCTGGGGGCTTGAGGCTGACACAGATCCAAATTCAAATGCGTATTGGCGAATGGGATACACTTATCCCATCCAGCTTACCCAGTGGGCGCTGGCATCTGCCCCTGACCACCCGGCTCTGAAGCTATTCATGGAGAATCTTCGCAACGAAGTACGCCTGGAAAAGGAAGCAACCACGTATGATTCCAATAGAGTTGACCCCCTGACCCGAACGGGACCTGCTGCCGTCACACTTGCCACGCTAATGTGGCTGGAAAACACGATTGGCTTCAGATGGAGCGCCCTGACGGGTCTGAAAGACGGAGGGAAATCAAAGTTGGTGGAAGATGCTTTAATCCTGCCCATAACAGGCTTCAGGTATGTCATGTGCCTTGTATCTTCCACATGGAGCAATGACTAATAATTCTTTACAGCCCAGGTCGCGGGAAGTATGGAAACATGGGATCCAAACCTATTACGCACCCTGATGCTCGACTTGTCCACCATGCCTTGGGCTCATGGAGAAAGTTCGATTTGATAGTCGAATATGGCAAGTTTTGCCGGACGGCATTTGGCTTCTGCAAAGACTGGTCGAAAGTCCCGACAACGCATTCTCGAATTACTTTGTGATTTCTTTTCAGCGACATATTGATCATTTACATGCTTTTAATATATTTTGATTTAACTACGAATTTTGGTTCTTTATCTTATAGATGAATTGGGTATGGAAACAACTTTTGAAACGCGGGCTTTAGCACATAATTAATGGGTCATATAATGACAGTATATATTGGAGCCTCAATAGAACGATCATATTGATGGATAGTTTTTATATGTTTCGAAACATATGCTCTTTATACCGTTTATAAATTGTTGATACTAAAGAAGCACAGATGCTAGAAATGTTATGGCTTTGGCATATATTACAAGCGTCTAGCGTGGCAAGGCCTGTACTTCAAAACTCCCAGGTTAGTTATCATACTCTGATTTTTCTAGTTTCAGCAAAGTTGTTTCGTTCTTTTTTCTACAAATAAACCTTGTATGTACTTGTATTCTTCACGCCCAGTAAAGCTAGTTTTGTACTTTTACTGGATGACCATTCGATAACAAAAGTCCCCGGTTGGTCACTGCACCAGGGATCCGGGGGTAGAGTTCTTCTTCACTAGCACGTAGGCAAGTAAACATATACTTTATCCAATGCTTCTGTGCCGCCTTATCCTTCTTGGCAAGGTATGATTCGAATAGTGGACGAAGCGGAGTAAGTTTGTAGGATTATCACCCACATAAGGGGGAACACGATGCTTGCCAGTACTTCATGAGTGGCCTGCGCTAGGATTACAGTCACACGCCCCCGTTGCTTTGTCGCTCGTGGCAAAGCATTTAAATTATAAGGCTAATTTGAACCTAAAGCTATAATCCCGAATTAGGGGCAGTGCATAATCTAGTCGAGGAAAGTGCTCTATCTAGTAAACGGCATGAAATGCTCCCTCAGAAAATAAGAATGAATTGACTTTGAGCACCTTTTAATGAGATTATGCCAAACATCCTTCTCATGATTAATATATCTTATATCTAATATATGTCATCTGTTGAGTGACTCATATAAATTAACAAAGCGTAAAATGAAACAGCCCACTGGTACTCATCAAAATGGACTCCGCCACAATGCTAGTATCGAAATCGGAAACTCTCCGAAGCGGCCAGTGGAAGCCTACAAAGTGACCATGTCTCGAAGCTTAAGAGGTATAGGGGGTGTAGTGAAGATCTACAGCGTCTTACTTGTACATGCAATCTGATATGGTTTGCTTCTGGAGAGGGGGCATGAAGTTCTTAAGCCAGGGAGATGGCGGGTGCGTAGCTACAATACAATACAATAAGTAGTTACAGCCATAAACGTGGACAAATGTCGACGAGCCAGTGGGCTTGGGCGAGTCATGGTAAATACCGGGCAGGAGGGAGCGGTGTTTACGATAATCCCCGAGCGGCTGATGGGGGCGCAAATCAGTAACAAAACTACATCATAGATCGAAAATATTGGCTAGCAAGCAGGGGTTTATATAGTACTATGAAAGAATTCATTCTGCGAATACTTGTGAGTTACATGATGCATGAACTGTGGTTTTGATATCGCGAGATATCAAGTACAACTTGGCGTAGTACTCATTCATGGCGAGGCAGCGTAAGTGCTTAAAGTTTTTTGAGACATCTGACAATAGCTCTTTATCATGGACAGAAGCTTTTGGGGCTATATTAATTTATTTCATCTCATTACTTATTCACTAATCAATTCCTATAGATGAGAAATGCTCATTGAAAAGACACTTCTCAATACCTATTTATGCTCATGTAACTAACTGTGGTTTCAATATGGTGGCTCCGCAACCAGCAAAAGCCCAATCACACTTCCAGAGAAAGGAATAATCATTATGTCACATATTTTTTGGAGCAGCAAGCGACTGAAGCAAGACTTTCCATTGTCGTCTATCTTACTGGCGATCTCTCGTCTGGTGAAAATTTGGTGATTTACACAGGGCTTTCGGGCTTGGCACGGCCCCGCCTCGTATCCGGGTACCGGGCCCGGATTCGTACGCCTTCTATGGCAGTCGTTGGGATTACTATACTGTGGATATTCTCATATTAATAGCCCGGGGAAATATGATTTGGAACGCATTGCGTGTGTTGGATTTGCAAAGATTTCATTTATCCAGTGGACGCGATGCGTCATGTGGGGTTTCTCAAATAGCTGAGCTCTCAGCTGGTGACGACGCGTCCACAACATCACAGCTGGCCGCCACAATCAGCGACTGCTTCGTCATGAGCATTGTAAAACACAAGTAGTCTCATTGTCACAGGTACTCTCTCTGTAGGGGTCGGAGATTCTTTCTTGGCATGCAGATAGCTTACGCGACAGTGACAAAAATGCGACTTGCTGATGTAGGTAGTATATGTAAACATTATCAGACAACTAGTCAGCAAGTTCTTCCCAAGAAGCAATATGTATATATGATCTGTGATGGAGAGAATAGTGACGAATCATTTATCATGACGAGAGAATTGATTATACACGGGATATAAACCAGGATTTGTGACGAAACGTCGGCCTTGCTGCGCCCAATATAGATAGGCAGCTGAACGCGTGTCTTGCTGATTGATGCGATGAATGCCGCTGATATGAGTTTAAAATGGGGAGGTAGAGCTGGTATAGGACCATGATTGATGGATTCCATTCTTTTTGTGTAGGTGAATTGTAAAGCAACAGCCACTAGACCTTACGTATCTCATGAAAGTCTTTTGTCTATTACGTTCATGGAAATGGCCAGGCAAGATGAAGAAGCGAGCTGCAGGAAAACTTACGCCATAACCTCAGAACATAATGATCCGCTAGGAAAGCAAGTTGAAGTTTGATCTAGCTATTCTTCTATTGCTAGCGTAGGCTGCGTATCTAAACGCAATGATTCATTATACACCCTTGGTGTCTTGCGCATGAAGGTTTCCAGTTTGGTGAAACTTCACTTTACATCTCGCTATCATGCGTAAAATAACATACGCCAAGCTGGATCCGATTGTTATCGTCGAATGCCCATCTTTCGGTACTTGATTCTCGGCCTATAGCCTCATTCTAACATCATGACCAGATCAAGACCAGTAATATTTTCAACAATGATCTACACCAGAATTTCAACCATCTAAACTATAGATCATGTAAACTACCGTTTGTACGAGTTTTTCATTAAACTGCGTGTTAATTTCGAGCAAAGGGCAAATACAAGAGAATAAAAATCTAAAACGATGCCCGATTTAGCCCTGAAGCAGCTGAGCTACCATGCTGCTTCAATTTGTATTATTCTAGACAAATCTAAAGAATGCCAATCTTTGGAGTCTGTATCTGTATTTCTCTACTGCCTTTACAGTGAGTAACTTTGCGAGATACACCAAGTATGAAGAGATGATGATGTCTAATACGCTGTGCTATTGACACTCCCCTTCGGTTGCAGGTGAAATCGTAATCTAGAGGATTTTGGATTTATTTGTGGCTTTTTTTAATTTCCGATTGATGAAGCAGAACACCACTGGTCCAAGTTTTACTGGTGACGGGGGCGTGGTTAAACGCAGCGCGCCACAGGAAATTCAGCACCCCCTGAGAAACGGCCGACTCATTGGGTTATCTCCGATATCCTCGAAGACGAGGTCAATGTACATTGCATATTCATCAATAGGGCGTATTTATTAATGGAGTGTACTTATCAACGGAGCGTATTGGCCAATGGAGTGTTCGGTCTCGTTCGTCATGTTAGACGCCGGGTGGACTTCCCTACCCAGTTTCAAAGGCAGGGCTTCGCCTATGAAAGGTATCCGGCCCAGACATCTTCGGTTATGCGGCATATTTATGATATCCATGAAGTGCTTGGCACTTGGCGACGACGGAACATGTACCCGATGCTCGTCGGAATAGGCGAGAAGGCTGGCTTTGTTCACCTGCTAAGACCCGGAGAGGGACTGACCAAAGCAGGGCCGAGCTTTGACTTTTCCTTTGACAGGGCCGCCTGCATCACCTGGAACAGCGCGCACTCCAGAACTCATGCTGAGAGACGTGTTATTGAGGAGGCTAGGTAGATTGAGCATCCCAAGAGCGAAAGATAGAGCCAAAGAAAAAGAGAAGAGCAAGGAATCTTGAACTAGTGGATGCACCAACTTTAAGGCAAAGATAGAGTCTGCCTTTTGAAACTGTGGTTCCATTTCTTCCCGTCGGGTCCGCCACTCACATTTACGTTGCTTATGTATAATTGGAAAGCATTAGGAGCCGAGCTGACAGGCTGAAAGAGTGCGAGTCCAGTTGACCCATCCGATGAAGGTGGCAGAGCTGAGATTGTAAGGGCATCGCCAGATGCATGGGTTCTTAACACACGCCCGGAATAGGTGTGGGAACTCTCGTCCATTGGACTTTTTATTAGGGAGGACTTTGTTAAGATCACACATGATCGTTTCTAGCAATAGCCATTGCACTGGGGTGGAGGGTATGTAGACTTGGTGCCGTGGCTGTTGTTCTTAGTGACTTCTTGTGCGATGGTGCCACTTTTAGCTCAACATGGTTGGCAAAAAAAAGAGAAACAAGAGTATATATTGAATATTGTATAAAGAAGTTTTTTTCAGTTACAGTTGGGCATCTGAAGTAAATGATACTTCTCAAACGTGAGTCACTTGCTATCGCTGCGTGAATCTTAATGCCAGACGCCGGAAGACAGCCCCGCAATTCCGGAGCATAAGGACGGACTATGCCCGGCTTGCCGAAGTTTAGTGTCGGTCTTGCCATTTACATCGAGCCTGCTTCCAGATGGGGAAGTATCCCAAGACAGCTAATATAGTACTTCCTGGAAACAGACCAGGAGACTTCATGACCTGTCGCCCGTGAGGTTTCTAAGGGGTGGATGATTCTGTGCACCAGTGCATCAAGATCTTCCCCAACTACCACAACCTTGAAATCTATATGCTATCATTTAACAGGTCCAGTCCGCGTACTCGGGTTTCTCCCTCAGGCAGGAGGCCCCTTATCAATAACGGCGCGGACCCGTATGATCGTAGGATCCAATTCCGAGGGGGGCCGATCTTAGTCCATGGCCGGGATACCGTCCTGGTAGCGTCGGGCTGATTCTGGGGCCGGTCTCGAAACTGGGACAACTATACTCCCGGAAAAACCCTCCGAGATCTAGTGACTGGGGCTGCCAATTATACCAATTGGCTTTCCATCAATAATACTTCGCTACGAGTGTAGCGTTCATTGTCTCCTCCGATGCGACATATAAATCTGCGAACCTGTCACAAACGCTGGTGGTGCTATCTCAAAGTCGTGCTTTAGCCATTTGCTCCGCCGCCATGTCGTCCGCTCCCAACTTGACCGCCACCGAGCACTTCAACAAGACTGCAGACAAATACGAGGCCACCACTGGCGGAGGCACCCGCGAACTCGGCGAGCATGCCATTTCCCTCATCGCGGGCCTGAAGCCCCTGACGTCCGAGTCCAAGGTCCTCGACAACGCATGCGGCACCGGCATCGTAACCGACATCATCCTTCAGTCCGGCATCCAGCCCGAGATCTACGCCGTCGACGGCGCGGAGAACATGGTCAGCATCGCCAGGGACCGGTTCTCCTCCCACCCCAACGTCCACGTGGCCGTCATGACCGGCGAGGAACTCTCCTTCCCCGACGACACCTTCACCCACTCCATCACGAACCTCGGGCTCATGTTCTTCACCGACGCCGACAAGGGCGCCCGAGAGATCGCACGCACACTTCACCCGGATGGAGTGGCCGTCGTCACCGGCTGGGCGATGATGGGACACATCAAGATCATTCAGGAGGTCCAGGCGCAGATCCGCCCCGACGATACGCCGTTCAAGCCGCCCGTCCCCGACATCTGGTTCGACCCCGAGCATACCAAGGCCGTGCTGTCGGGTGCTGGGCTCGACGTGCAGGCCAGCACTGCGCTTGACGTGCACCTGGGCGGCGAGACGGCCGACGGGCTCGCTGATCTTCTGACCCAGTCGTTCGGCTCGAAGGCATTTGAGTCTTGGAGCGAGGAGGAAAAGGACAAGGCCACTGGGGTGATGAAGAAGATTGTGCGGGAGCGGGCCGTTCCGTTCACCAGACCCTCTGGCTCTGGCATCGGTATCAAGCTGACGGGGACTATCTTTGTTGCGCGTAGGGGATCTGGGCATGTACTAGCTATATGAGTTCCTTACTGAATAGAGGCTCTCCTCGAGACCGTCACAATTCGATATGACAGTTCGTATGACGTATTATAAGCTTGGTCGGCGTGTATGTTGATACGTGGTGCTCAGATACTCAATTAGGCTTCAGAAGATATGATCCCTGATGAATCCAAGTTTCACGGGAAAGCTTTGTGACGGGGTAACTTTTTCTGGATATCCTCAGGTATTCGCGGAATCTCAAGACGCAAAGCGATGGGCTCGCAAGACTCACCACGAGCGGGGCCGACATAGCGAAGGAGCTTTACAATTGCGACACGCTAGCACCCGCCCTACGGATTGTTCTTGAAACTATTTAAGAACATAACAACTGCCGGAAACTCTTGGACTACTCATCATCGGGCTCTCCAGGAAATCTTCACGAGGTATAAAATCCAGCGGTTCACCGACGCCGAGACAAGCGTCCGATCGCGCTAATGCTTTCTCTACATGTAATCAAAATCTATCACGACACGTGGTCGCGTGCGCTGACGGTCTCTTTTGATCTTGTATCGGATCATAGAACCAGTTTCGCATAAAATGTTGAGTGGGTTTCGTTTGCAAGTCGATAACTCAAGGTCAGTAGTTAGCCAGGTACTTCATCGAACGTGCATATACCCTGACAGATCTGCGTGTCTCTCTCCGCAATAGATACCAACTAGGAGTGATCATCATGTAATTAGTCTACTGTATGGATACAGATACAAAATGTACTCTACTTTCCGCGAGCTAGGACGAGGAGCGGACATAGGCGAGATTGGATTGTCTCCCATCCCCTTGCTCCCTATTTCTCACCGGAAGCTGCTCATCTCTCTTCTCAACTCGTTATTGTTACAGGTGAGAAGCCATACGTTCAAGCCACGCCATACCGCATGATACTTTCTCTCTGGTCCGGGGAACGCGGCAGCGATGCCCAGTCCCCTCGATGCCCAGTCCTCCCACGGCCAACCCTCTCTCGGCATCCAGTTCCGTGCCCAGGACGTGGTCTCGATCCCGTCTCATCATTGACAACTTGACAGAGTCCGCAGATCAAACAGCTCATACGTCTCAGCGACACGGTCCGAGATGCCCTCCTCCGCCCCTATCCCCAGGGCGTGCCGGAGTCCGGAGCGAGCCAGTCAACTGTTGAGTTGCTACTGCTAGGATTCTGTGAGCTGTGAGGTATTGGCCGTGCTTGGCCCCCAAATTGCGTGCCGCGACTATCGACTTTTGTGCAGTTTATTGAGGCACACTCAAGAGGTGTTTTCAATTCTTTATTTGATTCTTGTCTTGGTATCGTTATTTCTTTGTCTATTGTACATAGTATGTATTACAATGGTTTTGTCTCATCTCGCCTACAGGAGCCACTTGCCGGGGCATGACTCGGCTCAGGACCGACAATGCCTTCCGGAGCGACCTCTTCACATACACCGGCCGCATGAAGCCGTCGCCCGGAGCGATGCCCTCGCCGCCGTCCAGCACGCTCCAGAGCAGATCGATCTGCTGGATGGACAGCAGGCCCGGCCCTCCCCACTCGGGCCGCCCGGTGAGGCCGAGGATCTGCTCGATTCTCTCCAGGAAGTTGAGGGAGGCGTTGGAAAAGCGGATTCCCCGCGCGCAGAGATCCTGTGGCGACGCCTCGCCGATCTGGAGTCCCAGGATGGACCTTAAGGGTGTGGCGGCGATGTTCTCGAGCCAGAGGATCATGTGCTTGAGGGAAACCTCGTAGAGGGATATGAGCTGGGTGAAGACAGCCGTGATGGTCAAGGCAAGAGGAGCCAGCAACGGCTGCAGAGAGGCGGATGGGAAGGGGGAGGCAAGGTTGGGGTTTGAGCCTTGGCCGTGGCCATTGTGTCCACCTCCGTAGGGATGTGGCGACGAAAACTGGCGGTCCAGCCCTGGCAGGTTCACGATATCGAGTTTATGCGCACCGTCGAGTGGCACATGGCACTGTCGGTTGTTGAGGAGCCGCGACAGCACCTGGAAGACCTCCTGTGTTGACCTCATTGTGAACTCTCCGAGCGTAAAGTTGTCGATGAATAGCGGGCCCTCGCGGAAGAGGATGCTGTTCAGGGTCATGACGGACCGATGTGATTCGATGGCGGCCATGCGGATGTGTAAGTCGTTGTTGAGCTTGGACAGCTTGGATAGGGCGTCGGACAGATCGATACTGCCCATGGGGGCACCCAGCTCCGGGATCACCAGGCTTGCCGGGTCTGAGCATGTGACAGTGAGGTCGAACCGACTTGACTTCGTCTTTAACACGTCGTTCTCGTCCATGTTCCAGTCGTAGTCGGCAAAGGCAGAGTTATACTTGAAGCAACTCGAGACGATCCACGGCACTGGCGCAGGGAGTGACGAAGTCTGCAGTTTAGCTGTCCCAGCAGCGGGCCACGATGACTCAAGGGCAAAGGCAACGTTTGTGGTGGTTCCAACAACCGGCGGCGCCGCTGTAGAGGCTGTGGTTGTTGGTATGGTTGGTGGTATAATTGTTGGTATAGTTGCTGGAATAGTTGCTGGAATAGTTGCTGGAATAGTTGTTGGAATAGTTGTTGTTGAAAACATCATGCTCTCAATTCCAAGTTGATCGTTCATCTTCAAAAAGATGCCCGAGTCTGGTAACACGCTCGAAGGGCTTGGGTCGCTCTGCTGGTTCTTTGTGGTCGTCTGTTTTTTCTGCGAGCGAACTGGCTTCGCTCAGGGCTCTTCAGTCGACTCCTTGCCTACGCGCTGGCCAGGAGCCGAGTCTGACTTCCTCGGTCTCCCGACCTTCTTCTGCCCGCCAACATTGCATTCCTCGCCGAGCATAGTGCACCGTGCACATTTTGGGTCGTTTTGCCTGATGCGTAGACATCTTGTCTTGTGCCGCTGGCAGACATCGCAGGACAGCCGCCGTTGCGACGGATGGATCGTGGAGGTGCCCATGGTTGCACAGGGTTACACAAACCCCGATCGGAGTCTTAGGGGAGGGGGGGGATCGAATGAAGAAAGGATGGACCGATAAGCGCACATGATATTCGGACAGCACGGCAAGTAGAGCGACCAACTGGGCGCCGAGGAGGAGAGTAGACTTGGCTGAGGCTCACATCAATCAGTCCGAGTGCGAGAATGAGCGCGTCACTGGTCCGTAAACTGATGAGGCACTGCTCAACCTTCCCAATCCCTTTGGGAAACCCTCCGCGGAGGGTTTCCAGAACGAATGGCTTGCGCCGTGCCAAAACTCTAATAGCTGACTCATGTGTCTCATTCCGAGACAAGACGCGACGGATGGGGCTAGACGGTAATAGAACATGGTGGGAACAGCGGATACCGGGAGCTATCAACCATAGCGACTAGGAAAGGAAATAGGTAACTAACTAAGGTACCTAGGCAGCCAACTAACAAGGTAAGTGACCAGATACAGGCAGGTATGTAAATACGGAGACGCTGGTTGGTCAACTAGTTAAGGAGACTCGCCCGTGTGTCCAGAACTTGTTGACTCGTAAACCGCCCGCGGAAGGTTTCTCTCAAGGAGCCTCCTTGCGGCTCCATAATCTAAATGCAAAGCTTGGGTGTCCCACGATTGCAGGCAGTGTCCTTCACATGATGACATGATAAGAGGCTCAACCGAACCGAACTGGTGCGTGCCGGGCATAATCACATGTATCCATACAGGGTCAACCAAGACTCCGTCCAGGAAACGGCTTCCGTCTGGCGTCAGGTTATTGGAATTGCGGCCTGACACGTTTGAAGTAAGTTTTGTTTGCATATGTTGTAGAACCTAGAGTTAAGTCCTAGGAGCATAGGGCTATTCATCAGCCATTCCCACCCTCAACCTCAAGCGCAACTCCAAGCCCCTATGGCTCTTAACTTGCACATCATCAGACGAAAATCCCCTTCAACACCACTCAAAACCTTAAGTACTACCTTCAGGAGACTCCGATTACTATCACCGGAGCCGAAGTGGAGCAACAGTTTGGTGCGAAACTCGCCGCTCTGGTATACAATGCCGAGCCAGATTACGACGAACTGCCCCAGATGACCTGCCGCAACTGAAAGTCCTCGACAGAACCGGCAAGACTCTCATCCACCTCTGGACGCAGGGCAATGATCTCTCCAATATTACAAGCTTGAAAGAACGATCCCCTCGAGTGCACATGGATTCAAAAAGACAAGATAAAGATTCCAGACATGACTCCCAACTACCTTGCGATGCAGATATGGAAAGACTTCCACAAGTACACCAAGAAGTACCTTATAATTATCAACTCAAGAATGTACTATGGCGCACATTTCTACCCTATCGATGGCTGCATCGTTTCTAAAACACTTTTAATGAGAATACAGCAGACTTTGACCCCCTCAGCTGCTTCTACTGCTTCCAAGAGATGATAGGGAGAATAAAAGTATAGAGAGCAAATTAGAGGTAATCTTGCATAGATAGAAGTATGAAACGTGCGACCTAGAGCTAGAAGAGATAGTTGTGTTCTTTCATAAGGGCATAATTCTCTACGACGCTACAAACCACCACCATGAGGTTATATAACCATTGTCTTAGGTACAGGTGATTTTATCATCAGAGTAGTTATTTTCAAGGCCTTTTGAAGGCATATACCCCCGACCCTTAGTTACTAATCGTTTGTAACGTACTGAGACGTTCAATCATTGCTTTATTGCTATAAGGGAATTACAATGTGCGACTAGCAAACTTCCCTATGTCTTGTATGTTTTCTCGCCTCTCCTCGCCGTGATGAGCCCCCCAAAACGTTGCCCAGTTACCCATTTCAGCTGCCAGCGGCGTCTAACATCGGATTTTATGTCTAAGAGCGTGTAACAGCTGGTCACCAAGGGCATTCTCAAGAACGGCTTCTTCCAACACCCACAGCACCCCAGGGCAGCTCGAGTGTACCAACATCTATATTTGCTGTTAACCTCAATTTCTTAAAAGAGGCATAGCTTTACATATCTCCTTGACCAGGACTACCTTGATTTCCGAGTGGAACAGCAAATATCATTGATAGAGCGCACGGTCTTTGTAGATAAAGAGCCTAGAACTGAAAACGAATGGTAGCAACTGAGGGGTCTTCTCTAGCCAAAAACGTGGCAGGCCTGGTTTCACTAATAGGTAAACCTTCAACTGAGAACTCAAAGTCTCAGCGGAGAAGGATTTCTTATTCTAGCATTGATTATATAGCACCTTTACCAATGCTGTGTCACGATCTTAACTCCCTCGTTTACCCGTATCTACGCCTTCTATCGTGATCCCACTCCATTACATGCTTATGAAAGGACCTCAGTACAACTAAGATGTCCGACTCTCTCTTCTCATACACCGCAGCCCTGTTGAAATAAATGTGACGGGTGCCACGCAAAATAACTAAAGAGGATAGATACACCGAATACACCAGTCGCCCTGAGCCCAAAATAACAGACGCATGGTAGGACGACCTCAGTACACAAAATAACTAGTAGTCATGAGACCCTTATGGAGTGGAAAGTGGAAGAAGAGATAGGAGAAAAGCTTCAACTCGATTATTTTTTTTATTTCCCACGGTCGAGCATCCGTTGATATTTGATGCTGCCTTTCCTGAAGCGTGCTGTCCTTCGAGAGAGGCTGTCTTTACCCCTGCCATTCGAGCCATTCGAGATATTCAGAGGGTAAGATTGTACATGCCTTGAATAGCAATAGCAAAGAGAATGTGGTAAACTTTACTACCTGCCGCTATATATCTGTGATTTCCCAAGTAGTGATCAGGCCTTTGATTGTTATTGCAATGACTAATGCTGATATTATATAAATATAGTGGAAGTACTGGAAAAACCACTTCATCTCAAGACCGCCAAAGCAAGTCAGACAGCAATTGTATCTCACTGAGAACACACATCTTTTTCATTTCAGAATCCACAGTCAGCCGTCACTATTGCCATCAAGTCGCACAAAGTTCTCCATTCTTACCATGAAACCTGCTCGTCGGATCTCCTCTAACAGGCACTGATCTCGCATACACGAAGCATACTGGGATAACGATACGGGCCTCTCCTCCCAATACAGCTAAAAAAAAAAAAAATTTAAAAAAAAATTGTAGTGATTTACGGACGTAAAGTGCAATGTCTCTGACGCCCGACAAGTTGACGGCAAAGAGACTGTCAATCTGCCAAAAGGATAACGATTTTACCAGCAATCAGTGTCAACGGCATATAAGTAATAACATTCGTCACCACCAAGATCAACTCACATCACACATCACAAATTCTAAAGTCAAACAAGTCAAGCCAAGTAGACAAGATATAGCGCTCATTCACGCATCATTACTAAAACACACTAAAAGCTAATAAGTATCATCTAAAAATATCCCATAAACAAAATCCACTCTCTCCAAAAAGGCCCATAGTCAAAATCCATCCAAGCCCAGGGTATGTCTGTCAAGTATGTATATAGTAATATCATTTCCCATCATTTCGTCTCGTAGATATGTTCCTCGTTTTTGTTTTCATCCTTTCCTTATACAAAACGCCTTCATCCGTCGCCATAAAGTTAAGTAAAACCCCTCTTGTGAAGATGTGGGTAAGAATCTTTCAGAATATTTTTTTTGTCAAGAATATGAGTAAATAAGAGAGAGATTGTTCTCCTGAGTACCATGGCCCCCATCTATAAGTATCCAAACGCGTTGAGAAATTGATGATATGCTTTGCCGTTTGAGGTTGGCTGGAAATGATAGAATATGTAAATAAAGTCGAATTAAAATGTTAAAACAAAATGTTATACTTGTTGCGCTTGCGCTTGTGACTGCACCTCCTCTCGAACATAGGCGGATCGCTGAAGCAAGGCATTGATATTTAGGTCCATAGGTGGTCGTTGGATTTCCATGCTTCGACTGGGCATCCTTCTGCCACCAGGTGTTCGTGGGTGAGCCACGTTGACACGGCCGCTTCGGTCAAGGATTCTAGGAGGCGATTCATCGCCGTCTGATCCAGAGCCCTCATGGTCGTCAAGCCCATACTCAGCTAGTCGAGTGAAGTAATCGGCGAGGCCATCAACGGTACTGGGTGTGCCGACAATGGCGTCATACTGAGGAGGCGGTGTCATGATCTGAGGGATATCGGCATGGTCGTAGACGACGGTGCTTGCGGGAGGCGGTGCGGTATCGTCTTCAAAGGCGGGTGGGTTGAAGCTGGGTGCTCGTAATAAATGGATAGGCCGGCCAGGTCTCTCTGCTGATGACCAAGCTGCTGGGCTTTGCCGACCAGTTGCCGCTGGAGCCCCTGATTGTAAGTGAACGGCCTGAGGCGGAGCGGGCATGCTGTCGGCCAGTCTCTCGGGTTCCGGAAGAGTTCCCGTCGAAGAGCTAGGAGAAGTCTCCATGGCAATTGTTGCCGAGTCGGGGCAGCCGCAAGCTGATTGGTAGGGGGAAGGTCGGTTCATCTCGCCAGAATAGGCGGGGAGATAAGTGTTGGCCTTGGTGGCCCGGCAGTTGAGGATGGTGAGAGGAGAGTCGATGCTGATTTCGAAATGACGGCGCTTAGTTCCCGAAGGGTCTTCGGTATCCAAGCGGCTGATTCGCATAACAACCTGTTTTTAGTCAGTGTCAAGTTCTACAGCAAGACGTTCAATGTTGAGTTAACTTACCTTGATCCAGTGGAAGACATTGACATTCTTCCAGCTGCAGTCAGGATGTAGTCGAAGAGCCTTGTTCTTGGCCATCATCTCACACGTGGGAATCTGCACGCTCGCCTCAATCTCAGTGGAACCCCACATGTTCTCAAGGCCCAGATCCAAGTCGCCGAGGAGATTGTCCACGGGCGCAGGTAGTGGCTCTGGGGCTTGATGCCTCCTGGCGGCATCGTGAGCTCGTCTTCTTGAAGCGGTGTCCCGAGCGACTCGGCGCTGCTCTTCATTCAGTTCACCACCGCGAACAGTGACGACCTCGGAGTCGGCCCAAGAGGGGTCGAGCTCTTTTCCTGCCGTCTTCTCGAGAAGCAAAATCTTTCGGCCCGGATCTTTCCTCGTCACACGCTTATCGCTGGTCCAGTACTCGACAGACTCGGTGATGTAGACCTTGAGTTTGTGGACTTGAACCTTGGCCAAAGGCGTGAGCTTGAAGGCGATGGGGATCTTGGCTCCAATAGGGAAGCTCTTGCCGGAGACCATGATGTCGTAGTGGAGCTGGTCCTCCCATTGGCGGCTGATAGAGATGGGCTCAGACATCTCCAGTGACATCTGATCCGGTAACCGGATGATTGGGACTTCCTTGACACCGTGGAGGTTGGGCTTGAAAGCACCAGCACGATCAACGGTGGCGTGGAGCTCCCACTTGACCGAAGCATATTGCAGCTTAGTTGTCTCGAGCTGGTGATGGTCGATGGGAAGCTCAAAAGAATAGTCGTAGACGCCAGGGTAGAAGACCTTGAATCCCTTGGCCTGCGTAGGAGTGACCACTCCGCTGTCGCCCTTTCCAAAACTCCGGGACTGGACATTTTGCAGGGATAGACGCTTCAGTTCCTTGGCGGTCAGGTTGTTTCGCATTGATGCAGATGGAGAGATGCTGGGTGAGCTGTTCAAGCCGGTGCTGCTCGAGTTTGCAGAGCCACCCTTGAGCTTGTAAGTGCACTGGTTGCCATACTCGTTCTCCCATCCGTCGTTGAGGGCATTGAAAAAGGTTAGGACTTGTGTTCGCAGGCTTTCTTCCTCGTACAAGTCTTGTTTTAACGGGGGGATTCCCTCGGGCCATTCTGTGCGCGCGCGACCAACCAGCTTCAGCTGGACGGCCTTGATCTTGACGTTTTTGCTAATGGTCAGCTGCATCCGCCCTCTGAGGAGAGCTGTGCCGGCGCGAGACTCCCGGCGCTCATGGCCGTTGTGGTCGAAGCCCGAGAGGAAGAGGTTGGGCTCGGCGAGGATAATGGAGCAAGCAACTCCGCTGCCTGTGGCGACGGGCTTGGTCACCTCGGTAACGATGGCGTTGACGCTTGATTTTGAGCTTCGGATGGAGGAGAAGCTGTTGTGATGGCCTAGCTGATAGGTGCTCATGGGCACCACGCCTCTGGCGGTAGCCATGCTGTTTGGGGGGTATCGACGGTGCTGAGACGAGTTTCGAGGACGGTGTGCACGTTGGCCGGCGTGGCGGCTGGAGTGGCGGGTGCGGCTATGGCTGGTGCCGCGATGTCTATGCCTCGATCTGGAGGACCTCGAAGCCGCTCTGTGCCGTGCTTTGTCTCGTGGCTGTTCACGGCGGTCTCGACGATCTCGATTGTGAGCAGAGTCGCGATCTTTGGAGGGCGGCGGGGCCTGTTTCGAGTCCCGATTCTTGCGGGACGACGACGAGGCTGGCTCGTGAGAATGGTGTGAGTGGTGGCTGCGAGAGTGATCTGCGCGGCTGCTATGGCGAGATGACCTGGATTCAGGGCGATACTCGGTCGTCGGGAGAGTCTGGACGCCAACGGGGAATGCGTTGTGCTCTGGGATGTCGACGGAAGATAAAGAGTTGCTGGCCAGCGACTGGAACAATCGTGTCAATGCCAGACGTACAGGCAACTCGGGCGGCCGGCTGGGGTGGGCCAAGGCCGAGAATCTCGAGGAGGAGCGCGGAGTTCCTGGGGCGGGACTGCCGCTATTGCTGCTGATACGGGTCCTGGAAGAGCCAGGCGAAGTTCGTGTTCTGGCGCGAAGCTCTCGCGGCACGTAGCCGGCGGGATAGCTGACAACGTGGATGGAGTGCGGCCGCGTCCTCCTTGGCCCAATGAGGGGCACTGGAAGCTGCTGGTCAACGGGGTCAGCCGGATTGTCAGCGGCTGCGGCAGCGGTAGCGGCGGAGGCGTCGGCGACAGGGGCGTCGAGTCGGTACAGGATATTGCCGCTGCTGGTGCGGACCCAGTCGTCTCTGCGGCGGCGGCGTCGATGGCGGGAGTCGGACTCGCGCGAGGCTGGCATGTTGTCATCAGTATTTTGGTTCTGGTTCTGGCTTTGGTTTTGGTCTTGGCTTTGGTCTTGGTCTTCAGCGTTGCTACGGCACTGCTCCCGGCGATGGGTTCGCGATGGTGGCGGCTGCACTGCAGCTCCCGCCGGCATGTTTGCTCTGCGGATGACGGTGATGCTGATCTGGGGGAGGGGGGGAGGGGCTTGCTCAAGCCGAGAGCTGGTGGGAAGCGGAAAGGTGGGAATATCTCGTCTGCAAGCTCGACAGCGGCATCAAGGGCAGCGAACAGGGCCATTCAGACCGCCCATTATCGTCCAGCCGGGTGGAGAGCCAAAGCAAGCCGGGCGACAAAGGCCACCAGGCAAGCAGGCAATGATATGCGGTGGTGCAAAGAGATGAGGGGAAAGCACTGAGACTATGCTATGCAGGGCTGACAAAAAAAAGAGGAGAGAAGGGATAAGTAGTTCACAGAATAAGAGCTTAATGCAGGCAGCGGGGGGGTATGAAGAGAAAGGGAGAAGGTGAATAAAAAAGGGAAGCTCGAGATGTGCTGGCAGCAAACAAGAGGGCAGAGTTGCGTTGACGGCGATGCCAGCAGGACTAGAGTGCTTTTGTGTCTGGATCTGAGCCCTCGAGGCACAACCACCCGGGCGAATGAAGAAGCTGCTGGCCTCACAAGTTATGGAGAGGGGGGCGTTGAAGCTGCAGATGAGGAGACAGGTGAACAAATGAGCGAGGAGGGAAGAGGATCAAAAATTTTCATTCTATTATAATTGGGCATCGAGAGACGAGGCGAGCTCGCCTCCTCGTGATTATGCGAAGCGGCGATAAGATAGTCTGATGTCGACCCAAGAACAATGCAGACGGGGGCAGTTTGCGGCCGGAGCGTGGCAGAGGCCCATGAGTGGCGCTGCCGCAGAGCCAAGCTTCATCAACAAGCAAGACCAGTTCAATGAGGCCCTGCGCGAGCATCCACAAGTGCAGGCTGGCCACGTCGCTGGGAGGGTGACGTTGACGGTTGGGCCGCTGGAGCCCATGGAGCCCATGGAGGCCCCGCCGCGCCGTTGCGTGTCCGCCCAACGGGCTGTAGCTACAGGCGCATGCTGTGCAAAAGCAGGTTTGGAGGAGAGGCTTGAGAGCGTGTGTGGCCAAGATGATAGGTGATGAGAGCAGGGGGGAGAGACACGCGGTGGAGATGTTGATGGGCTTGCAGAGCGCTTGCAGCAAGAGAAGAGCGAGGCAAGGGAATAAGAAGCAGATGGTGCCAGCATATTAGATGGGAATAACAGCAGAACTCAGGAGACAATGCCTAGGTAGGGCAGCCATTGGAAGCTGCACCGACGCCATATCATCATCTCTTGATACGACGTAGCAGCAGAAGAGCCAATGGAATGAGAAGCAGCAGAAGAGCCAATGGAATGAGAAGCAGCAGACGGGAGAGACAGATAGACAGACACACGAAAAAAACAAGACTCACTCACCACAAGTTGGGGCCGGATGAGATGCAACTCAGATCGGCAAACGCGATTGGTGACCCTGCTGCAGGCGAGACAAAGCAGACCTTTTATCTGCTGATCGCTGCCGAGTTGTCGTTTTGCCTGTGCGTGAGGCGGAGATGCAATGCGAAGCGATACCGCAGTGGCTACTCTCGAGCTATGGAGCAAAAAAAAGACGTTGCGTGACCAGGGAGTTTTAGGCGAGATGCAGCTCAGAAAACGGGATGCTGGGGGCGAAAGCGCGCGCTGAGAATAAGAACTTGGAAAGGGTATATGCGAATGAATGCGAAAGAGACTGCGTTTATGCGAAGCAAACAATCAATGGAGAGCGGCGTTTCGAATTCTGTGTCTGCGCTTGTTCGTGTCGTCGCGAAACTCGAGAAGAGAGATGGAGCGGATATCGACGAAGCAGGGGAGAATGAAATAGATGAGGAGAGAGAGAGAGAGGAGTTGCCGTGAGATGAGTTGAGAAAGAGAAAAAAAAGTACAACCGCGTTTCCCAGCTGAACCGAAATGGCAACCCCAGAAAAGCCTCCCCCAAGCCCTTATAAACAATTGACAGAATAGTCTCGTGGCCCGGCAAAAGGTTAAACGGCAGAAACAAACAGACACAAAGCCAAAAACATGTCAAAGCCGGTGGCAGCGGCAAAAAAAGAGTAGAAGTTGTCCAGCCCAGCGCTGGGTCCTGCTTTAATCAGCGCTTGAGGTCTCCCCCCCGATGGCCGGGCGAACTACGTAATGCCGGAATCACCCCCCTAGCTGGCGACGCTTGATTTGCATTTTGTTTTTTATTTTTTTATTTTTTTTATCCCGCGTTAATTTCCTCGCTGGCCTAGTTGGGCCTGGATGTAGATTAGCCTCTGCTTCTCCATCTTCTCCCCCCTCCCCCCTCGGCAGTGTCTGTCCGGGGCTGATGGCGGGCCAGGCTCGGGCTTGAGGCGTTGACGGCCATGCTAACGAGGCGGTAGTGCCCCTTGGAGCAAGGCGTGTGGCAGCTCTTAGTACCGTTGGGGCAGTAACTTGGCATAAGGCTGGTGATGTCAGAGCCCAAGGCTTGGGGCTAAGGGGAGTCGAGCCCTTACTAACGTAGGTACATTTATGCGCAGCAGCTTGCGGCGGTGCGGGCATGTTTCTGGCATTTCCACGGTTAGTAGAGAGAGGGAGGTGCCCGTTACGGACAGAATGGCCCTTTGCGGCAACACGCTCTACAGCATCTGGAATAGACGGGACAACAAAGAGAGCAGACGCAGGGTATCTCGGCGGATGCCCACTCATGGGTCGCGTTCTGCACTGCCCGGAGAATCTCAAATCAACAAGCACAGAAGCAGCATCTCTAGCCTCAACTTGCTGCCTTGGCACCGTCTAATGCCCTGTCCTGCAATCTATTTCAAACCTGCTAGTAATACGCACGCACTTTCCAGACTGCTGCCTCACGCGCCCAAAACACTTAAAGAACCCAAGACGAAAGAAAGGGAAAAAAGATTAAAAAAGAAAAGAACAGAAGCCAAGATGATCGACGTCACTGCCAGGCCAACCCCCTGGTCGTTTTCTCTTCAGGAGGGGGGCCGGCACACCAAGGATGCCTTGCGTGTCCAATCAGCTTGGCCAGCGGGCATTTCCGTGGAAGTCTACTATTTGCGTTCTACAGTAATTTGGAAATCTCATGTAGCCATGTATACACACACTATCTGCCATGGCAGCCTTTACTCGCAATTAGCTGTCAATTTATTCAGAGCGACATCCCGTTTTAGCCGTCCTCTGCCTTGTGACCGCCACAGCCAGGACCGTCTTGCGCCTCATCCGCCCTATCATGTCGATCTCAACACAAGATGTAGAAAACGACGTCTCATATTCAACGTGTCCTGCTTTCTGCCAGGATACTTAGAATACAAAGCACAACTCCAAGGAAGTACCCGAACTGACGGATCATCCCGGGGCACCTCTCCCCGTTGCCTCCTACAGTGTCTATAGACTCCATACCGTACTCGTACAGCAACACCAACCAAATCACGCACCGCAGCCACTTTTCGCAGCACATAGCATCAAGACACAGCCTCAGCCGCTGCTGAAAAGCTGAACAAGCCCATGGATTTCTCGCATGGCCCTGCATTCCTCCAACAACCCAAGGCGCTACCATCAGGCCACCATGGCGCACCCGGTTCAGGAACATGCGTAAAATAGCTCCAGCTCCCTGACCCAGCTGTCCGTCTCCATTCCAGCTCAAACCATGTCTTGCATCCAATGCGAAGCTTGCCCACGGTCAGCTCATCCTCTCTCCTCGGAGCTTTCATGGAGCTTTCATGGGATTGTCGAAATCCCAGATCGCGGATTCGGCAATCGGGCTGGCCCCATTAAAAAGGGGGCTCCATATTCCCGAGACATGCTTCCAATGCCGAGCCACTTTCTACTCAGCTTTCTTTGGGTGAGCTCTTCCCCTCGCCTTTCCTTTTTTGTATTTTTCCGTTTTTTTTTAAATTATAATTGTTTCCATTTTATTTAATTGATATTATCTCAGCGCTTTTTCTTCGACGGCTCGCTGCCGCTTGTCTTTCTTAGCGAACCCAGGCGTGGATTCGCTCCGGCACACCCGGGTTGTTCACACCCTCCGGAATTGCCGGATCCTTTTTGGAATAGACCAAAATCAAATTTCATAAACCGCATCTCTTTTGCCCATTCACCATGATGCTATTACTTACTAACAACATAGCAATGCGTAGCGTATGATACCTGTTGCTCCATCTCTACACTGCCGACATGTACCCTTGCTCCGTTCTAGAACAGAGTCTGCATGCACCCTTTGGAGGCTCAGAATGGGCTCAGAAGATTTAAGATCTCACCATGTGACGGGGCTTGCGTCCAAAGGCCCTCGGTCCAAACTTTCCCAGACAACCGGTTCCGTGACTCAGCCACCAGGGCCGCGCACCAAATCATCTTTGGTGCTGAGTGATATTCTTAGTTTTCCTGTTTTGCCGTCCAAGATGAGAGGTTTCGCCGTGGTTCCTCGCGCTGTTCGACTCAACCGTCAATTACATTTATGATACTTCTCCCCACAAAATAGGTGAGAGATATCATAGATTTGGCAACTCTAATAGCTCAACTTATACAACAAGTCGCCACCTCCAATCGCCAAATCGCAATCAACCAACTCTGGCGTATCAGCTCTAAGGCGTAATATCCGTAAATTCCTAAGCTCAACTCAGCTCTCCAACCTAGGCGTATCATCTGCCTCTAGGCGTATCAGCTCTGCCACCGATGAATGATCTCACCGACTGTGAGCTAATCTGCTGCAACTGTCAGAATCAACAATTACAGATTATCCTCTTCGCTGAGCTGAGCTGAAACGATTCTCTTACGCGTCCAGCACTGGTCATCTGAGGCTCTTCCCCTCCTCAAGCCAACCTCTTCCCGCAATCACTCGTCACGCTATCCGCTGTAAATGTTTACAAACGTCTGAGTCTGCACCTGCACGAGTGCGTCATCTGCCTCTGCAGACAACGCCCGCATCCGCTTTGTCCCTACATATCCGGATAGTAATATTAGAAAGAAAAAAACTCTCCACGCAGCAAAGAAGAAAAAAAGCTCCCGCTCTCCCTCGCCCGGCCCCCTTTGCCAATTAGTCAAGTAAAAACACCAGAAACGAAGTCCCCCATTTCCTTCTCTTTACCATATCCCGGCATCGAGAATTTTTCACCTTGCATGCTTCCTAGGTGCCCGGTTACACCGGTTCGTTACCAAGTGTCTGTCTACCCCCACACCCACTCCAGCCACCGGATCCCCCGGCCGACGCCGTGCCGACGCTGGCTTCTTTTGAAATCTAGCCGATCGACATGACAAAGGCTGTGCCCTGTCTACGAATGGGGTTCAAGGGTCCTAAGGGTCCTAGGAACATGGGACGAGTGGTGGTATGATTGGGGCCGAAGGATCCACTTGCCTGCCGAGGGGACCTTGGTGTGAAGTGGCAGCGTGACATGTTCACCTTCGGAACTTTGCGTCTCTTGTTTCTTGATGCTATTGAAGATTGTTGTCTGTGTATGTGACTGTAAAGTCTTTCGGGAACTTGTATGGCCTGTCAATATGGCCTGTATCACTTGTCTGTATGGCCATCTCATCAAATGTAATACGTCATTAAAAGAGGGCTACTACGGTGAAAGTAGATACTCTGTTGTGAATGTTGGACCTTTTTTGTCCTCGGATCGCCAGGATCTGTGCTCTTTTCTAATCTTACTAGTGTATTTTCGAGGAAAGAAAACCGTAGAGGTCAAGTTCGATTACTTTGGTGATGGAACATTGTCACTGAACACCTTGTTCTTACAACTCCTTCAAATACAATTACCGCTAATAACATAAACAGTATTAAATCAACATGCAACTGCAACTGTATATGAGTTTATACGACTATCGCTCACAAGGTTGAATCATTCACCGTGACATTCACGATACAGCTTGACTCATTTCCGGCCTATCTTAACCTACATCATATCCTTAACTTACTTTTGACTCAGCCGAGGTTAATAAATGAAGCAGAATAGCAGTCACTTAATATTCTACCCAAAAAATGTGATTTTCATGTCATAGTTCATGGTATACTAACGAGAAGTCAAGTCCTGGGTGAGTACACAAGTTCATAGGTTCAACTTCATCACACACTACTTACTCACACAGATGCATAAGTTCTCATGAAAAGAGCAGAATCAATTCTTTTCAAGATGTATAAGATTCAGCCTGTATCAAGGAAGTCATTCTATAGCCGATCAACCCAACACGATTCATTGTAGCGTCACCTACGTTGACCCTCCATTTATACCATCTTTCTCATGCTAGTCATTAATCAAGCCATCACCGCTCAAGTCATTGAACGGTACGTTTATATCTTTAATCATCTTAGATGCGACAAACAAGTAAAATGATGAATCAGCAGACCACCTATCTAACCACTCAAATCTCAAAGCAAGGTCTCCGAGTGAGTTCTTCACACTCATAACACGGGATCTCTTCACCACTCATTAACCATCTTGCAAATCAATCCATCACACACTCTTCCAGCTTTCTCAATAATGCACCAATAAATCACACAGATACACGGGTTCTTATAAAAAGAGCAAAACAAATACCAATTTAGATGTATGGGACTCAGTCTCTAGAAAGGAGTCCATTGCGTAACCGAATAAAGGACAGCTCGCTATGGCACCAGGCCTCGTTGGCCCTTCATCTAGAGGTACCATTTGTTTATCATATTCCTGAGTTAAGTACTCGCTATCGCTACCTGAATAACCAAAATATCTTCAGCTCATACAAGCGTAAACAATTCCGTCAAATAGCAACAAACATCTAGATTGATAGGCCAAACACACCATCTAACCAACTAAATTTCTAAACCCAACTCTCAGTCCCATTTCCGCCCACAAAATACCAGCCAGTCCATCCCACATCAATCATCATCATACACTCTCCCCAGCCTCCCTCCTCAACCTAAACGCCTCCAGCAACTTCCTCCTCATCATCCCCCCCGTCAACTTAATCCCCCTCCCATCTTCCATCCTCTCCCCCCTAACTTCCCCTTCCGCCGCCCAAACCCACCCCTGATGCTCATTATCATCCAGCACAACCTCCCCATCCTCAACCTCAACCTCAAACCCAACCCCGCAAATAATCTTCGTCCCGCTCCTATTCGTAAACACAGACCACTTCTCTCCCATCTCTCTCTCGCCTTCCGTAACAAGCCTCTTCATCCGCCTCGCCACCAGCCCAGCCTCCTCCCTCACTTCCCTCGCGCATCCATGCAAAACGGACGCATCCTCCGCGTCCACCGCCCCGCCAGGTGCCTCCCACAGATTCGGCATGCTGTCGTGCGCGGCGCGCTGCACGAGCAGGACGCGGTTCTGCGCGTCAAAGACAAAGGCTGATGTGCCGATGCCGTCAAAGTGCTTGCCGTGGATCCTGAGCCAGTCGGCTGCTGGGACCGTCCATTCGACGAGTGACTCGTCAAAGGCAAAGTTGGCCATGGATACGCCATTGGAGTTTGCTTCTGTCGTGGTGTTTTCTTGAGACATTGTTTGAGACTCGATTTTATAGCGGAGAGAAAAAATGACGCTTATGCTTATGCTTAAACGTCTCGTTGTCCAATACCGGAGGAAGAAATATCGTGTTTCGTATTGTAAGTCGTAAAAGCAATGATTGTAAAGGTGGTTTCTTTATGTACGTATGTAAACAGCCTGTCGACATGTGGTCCGCGCACCAGAATCAGCCTCGCGTACCTTAGTCATTCTTGAGGCTCTTAACACGCATTAGTCACTGAAACTCGAAACCGCCAGCCAGGCAGCATTAAAGATTTCGTGTGTCACCAATTGAGTCATATTTAAATGCAAGGAATTTTTTTTCCCTCCGCATAACCGCGTGACTCGGTTTTTTCACGTTTACGAGAATGCACAAGTAAGCCAAATTTCTTGGCCGCAGCCGAAGGACTTCTTCGCAGCTCGCTCGCAGCATATAGGGAGCAAATACACACACGGGTTGAAAGTTCAAGCTCTCACAAACACAGAAACAAGCATCAAAATAAAACAAACAGGTCTTAAAATTCACAAGTTCCCTATTATTATGTTAAAGTTATAAAATACAAAGTCCTTTCCAACTCCCATTGCGGCCCAGCCCCATACTAAAAGAAGAAGCAAAGTATATAGATATAGATATAGATATATATATAAGATAATGAATGCCTTTCAGGCAAAATGAGGCATCCCGCGCACTCTGGCTCCAAAGAAAAAAGAATCTTTTTAGCCTGGGGAATCAATAATACAAGACCAATAGTAATAATATCCGCATGTCTTTTGATCTAGCATGAGAGGATAGCTTTTTTCCCTCCTCACAACTCGAATCCAATTCCGCATTAACCAGATATCCTTTCTTGTTCTGATTGAATGTTGGTTCTGCAACACCTGCGGCCAGCATCCCAATCTTGCCATGCGTCGTTGAGTACAGAGCCTTGTCTGCTAACGCCATGCTGCAGGAACTCAATCGCCCTGATTTCATAAACTCGTGTAATGGGCCTTTTCTCGTACTTTGATTTTGACAACCAGCCAAGCCTCCTGCCATATAACTTACAACACATTAAAGACATGACCCCCAATATCGACAGTTCTAAAACCAGGCGCTCTCCTGCTCTGGATTGAACGTATATATCATCAACTAATTCGTTGGAAAGCGTAAAACATGAAACCATTTCGTTCGAGGATGGGAAGGTAGTGTGATGCTCGAGTCAAGATTGATGTGAGCCAAAGCCGCGTTCTTTCACTTGTTGAATTTCAGCGAACAGGATGATACAAGGTTGTTTTACATTTCTTTCCGTCTTCTTTTTTTTCCCCTTGTGAGTAGAGCACAATCAGGTGTCAAACTGTCCAAAGACTAGATTTGAATCGACTTCCAAAGCCCAGCATGATAATGAGCGGCCGTGGTGATGTCTAATTGTATAGACACCCAGAATCGTAGAGTTGATTCCCTGTTGAAGGACTGGCCGTCAAGCTCCTGAGGGCTCCAACATTTTCCCTTTCCTTCTTTTTTCCTCCCTGGTCGGCGCATCCTGAAGTAGCGGGCATCGAGGAAATCGCCTTCTCCAATCTCGAGCTGCAATCCATCAGTTCCCTCCCCACTTCTTTAATCCGTTGCCAGGACCGACTTGTCTGTCCTAACTCGCATATGATTGGCGTGAACGTCAAGGCATCGGGACATCAGGTGAGTAACTGGCCAAACAGCGGCCTTGTCCAGCATCTGAGAAGTGACACGAAGGATCTTGGTTGCGAAGCCGCCATTGTATCCGTCGTCAGAATTCAAGCTGCCCATGAGATCCATACTAATCTTCATCTCTGCCGAGGACAGCACTGCATGTATCTTGTCTATCAGTTGGACATCCTCCTCTTCCAGCAGCATGAGGGCAGGCATCGATGTGCCATCAATAGGATCTCGGCCAAGGATTCCCAGATAGCGGCCAACTCTATCTTGTACAGTGGCAACCCACTCGGCAAGAACTTGCGCGCAATCGAAAGCGCACATGGCGGATTGCAGGGGCAGTTCACGACTGGTGAAATCAGCAAAAGTCACTCCAAGCTTATCCGACATGGCCAACGAATCGGCCGCATAAAAGGCAGCTTTCCGCAGATGGCGCTCGCGGCGAGAGATGGTTCGAGTAGCAAAGGGAGAGCCGCTGGCAAAGGGAGATTTGTTGTTCGAGAGGTCCATTGCTGATGGCGGAATCGAAGGAGAGCCAGTAAAGAGGGTGCTGTCAAAGGCATCGTTGCCGACCGCTTCAACGTTGGATGATGGGGAGTGCTCGGCATGCTGCACAATCTCCGTTCCCCGGGCCAATTCCTCTGCCATGCCATCCCAATCTCGCTGCCAAAACTTCTCCTTTGACCTGGACAGATTGACAAAAAGCCGCACGTATGCCAAATCTAGTAAAGGAATTGCGTCGGCGGAGAGTGGTCCCATTCCGAATGGGTTTGGACGCTCCACGGAGTGCTTCGGGTTACTGGACCAGGCTGCTTGCCACGCCTTCAAAGCTGGCTCAATGTGCCGGTGCATCTTTTCGGTCTCCTCGTTGGTCCAGACTTTGTTATGATGCCTCTGTCGGGTTTCCCAGATGTAGTTGTGCAACGCGTTAATCAAGATCAAGCAGCCAAAAGTGCTAGGCTTCAGATTAGACGGCGGAAGGGTTGCTGGCGAGAGCCGGCCGCCGTTTAGCGCAGCCATATGTTTCTGCTGTCGCTCGTTTGTGCGCAGGAGCTCTCCGAGAGCATCGGCAAACCTGAGTCTGTTGTGGTTGGCGGCCTCGACTCCACCCTTGGCGAAGAAGGCGGAGCTTGACTCGGCCGCGAAGAATTCTTCATCACAAGGCAGATCCAGCATGATTTCTGAATTGGTCAGCGCCGGAGTGTGGTTGTAGGCGGCGACGAGAAGGCTGGACATGATGAAGACGGCGTAGAGCGTGCGCTTGCGCTCCTCTTTCCGCTTCCAGTGCAGCCACTCTTGTCGCTCCTCGGCTTCACTTTTCCTGTTCCACGTTGTTGAGTCATCATTCATCCGGGCATCTTCGGAGTCGTCTTGTTCAGGGCGCAGCAGATCGGCGGCTTGGGCGAGGCTGACGAGCGCTGCACAGTGTGTCGAGGCAATGTCACTAATGGTCTTGTCGGCGCAGTTATGGCCGTACACGACGTTGAGCAGCATGGCCTGGACGAGCCAGACGGGCGTGTGCGCCGAGCTATCCCTACCTTGAGAGGGCGAAGATTGCGAGTGTTGGTGGTGGTCGGATTCGCTGTGCGAGCTGCGTCGGATATTATCTGCTTTGCGAACATCTGCTTTGCGTCTTTCTTCGAGGTAGAAAAAGATCATCTTTTTAGCCATATTGAAGAGTTCCTTGGATTGAGCGTGCTCCATTTCATACAAGGCGCCAATGGCAGCCGTCGCAAGCACCAGACATCCACTACCGCCTACACCATTCTGACGCCCGCTCGAGGAGGACGTGGACATATCAAAGGACAACGTGGGCAGGTGCAAAAAGGGAAAATGGGGATGGAAATAAGTAATGTAGGCTGAGACATAACGCTGTAGATTCTGGGTACTGGGCACGTTGACAGCCGGAACAGAAGGGGTGGACCCGGCGGATGACGACGATGGGAACTGCGGCGACTGCGGTGAGGTATGAGAGGTAAAGGAGTATTTACGGCCTCCAAAGGGCAGGCACTGGGAGAGGATATTCACAATGGTAGTCCTAGTGGCATCTGTAATTGTGGTTACGGGCGAAGCGCCATGGTTAACGACGCCGTTGAGGGACGATGGGGTTTCCGGGCCGGCATTGAAGCCAAGGGTGTGGTTCATGCTCTGCGTGTTCAGTCCAGATACGACGTTTGGGCTCAACGAGCTCAGCGATGGTGGGGGCGTGGAGAAGTATGGGTCATTGATCTTTTGAGTAGCTGGCTGAGGTGATAAAGGAGCTCCATTGAGGAGATCCGGGAAGACTGAACCATTCAGATCCATCGCAAAGGGATTCGGCATCTGCGGGGGGCCCATCACGGAGGGTTGCCACATGGTACTCGTCCCGGCCGGAACAGGGTGATTTGATCCATCCACCATGACATCGCTAATCCCACTCTGGCTCGTCGTGCTCAGCGCCGACGGGCTCGACTCGTCCACCACATTTTCGTTTGTCTGAAACGACATTTGATGGTCGAAGCCGCTCAGCCAGTCAAATGTGTCGTCAAAGGTTGGGTTCGGCGGCACATCGCTGATGGCCGAAGCGAACGGGGAGGCCTGCTCCATTACCATCGAGGGAGGGGAATCATTATAGTGAAGGGCGTTGGGGTTGATGGTGGTGCCCGGCCCAAACAGGATGCTTTCGAAATCAAACTCGGGATTAAAGGCCGCGAGAGGAGGCGCTGTGCGGAGGGCGTTTTCAAAATCGGTACCGCCGATTTGGCCCGTCTCCAGCTTGGGGAGGCCGTGCATCATGGCTCTCTGGCCCATGGCGGCCATGGTCATGCCCGTGAAGACCTGGTCGAAGTTGTGCATGGGCAGGCCGGCCAGGCTGGGGTGGCGGCTGTGTCCGCCGTGCATGCTCCTAGCAACGGATGCATTCGCCGAGGCGATCATCTGCATGGCGGCGCCGTCAACATGGCTGATGGTGTTTGCACGCGGACGCATGGTGTTGGAGCCGGGGTTGTTGTTGCTGGCCGCCGCGGCCTGGCTGGCGCCCGCAACGCTGTTCTTGCGAGCCCGGCTCTGGCCCGGGGGCACGCCGCTGGTCGACTCGCGGCGGTTTCGAGGCCGTGCCGAGGGCGTCGACGTCTGGTGCAGCTTCTGCTGGTGACGGAGCAGCAGGTCGCGGCGGGCAAAGCATCGCGAGCACTCGGGGCACTCAAACGGCTTCTCCTTTGTGTGGGAGCGCTCATGGCGCTTCAGGTGCTCCAATCGGGCAAAGGAGCGCTGGCAGGTGGAACAGACGTGCGGGCGCGGCTTGTCGGTCTTGGGCGGAGGGAAATTCGGCGCGGCTTTGGGCGTCGTGTTG